ACTATCTGTATGAATATGTGCAGTGTAACTATCTGTATGAATATGTGAAGGTAACTATATGTATGGATATGAACGTTTTTCCAATTAATCTTGGTGTAAAATTCACAGGTCAGAAAAACTGCAGTGATATAAAAATAATAAAACAGGCTGACCTCTGTGTCGACACGTCAGCTTTGTTAGAGATGTCGGCCACTCGGACGTCCCTTGAGCAGTAGGATGCCAAGTGTTTCATCATAATCTGAACCTGCTGACCCAACTCCTTTGTTGGTACCAAAATGAGAGCTCTCACATTCTGCTCACGAACACACTGAGAAAAAACAGAGTTAAACTGACTAAAAGCTCTGACTGGTGACGTTTCATCTGATGACTGATGTTAAAAACAAATGGAGCCTTAAACTTGTAATTATAAAACGGTTCTTCGAATTTGTGCCCAACCTGTTTGGAGGTCAGGATGTGTTGAATGATGGGTAAAGCATAAGCTGCGGTCTTTCCAGATCCAGTTCGAGCTCGAGCCAAAAGGTCCTTCCCCTCCAGAGCCAGTGGGATGGCCTTCTCCTGGATCAGGGTCGGCTGAGACCAGCCTAGATCTGCAACCGCCTGAAAGAACAAGTTGGACAAGAAAAATAACACAAGTTTTACTGGACAGTGTATCGTTTCATCCATCAATCCATTATCTTTTACCCGCTTCTTCCATTTTGGGTCATGGGGTGTCGCCCGTGCCCATGTCCAGCAATTTGTGCGAGGGGCGGGGTACAGCCCAGACAGGTCGCAAGTCCATCACAGGGACACATAGAGACAAACAACCATTCACTCTCTCATTCACACCTAGAGACAATTTAGAGTTACCAATCAGCCTAACATGCATGTTCTATTTCGTATAAACTTCGCCCTTTAAGGCTGTCGCTTGGTGGGTTTATCCCGTTATGCGTAGCATAGCACTGAAAAAATTTAGTCCACGCCCACCTGCTGTGTGGGCCCCACCCGGTCCGTATAAATTACGTTAAGAGCGGGAAAACGGCTCCCATTTTTTCTTCAGCGAGCTATAGCACTGTCAGAAGAACGAAGAAGGAAAGTTGTGTAGATGACCAACCTTTGTTAAGGATGCTTGGCCCGGCAGTCGACCTCCGGTCGTCCGGTGAGTTCTCCTCCCCGAGGAGAAGCTGACGAGCAGTCTTATTTCAAGGTAAGCGCCGAGAAATATTTCTCAGTGACAGGTCACTACACGCTGGACAACGCCATCTTGTAATTTTCCCCTTACCGCCGACCCTCGGAGCGAATCGGATGGTTCCTCCGGGACAGGCGGCGCTCAGCTGCAGCCCCCCGCTGCTCATTCCCTCCTGGAGAGTGTAGTGTCGGTGGAGGGGGGCTGAGTGAATGCTCACCCCATCCCACTTCGTTTCGCATCGGCGATCACACCGCTCCGGCCGACGGCGCCCTCAGGGTTGCCCGGCGTAACCCAGGAGGCGGCTGACATGAAGGGACCCCTTTTCTACGTCCCACGCCTTTTCCCGCCAGTTCGGATGATCTGGCGGGAAGGTTGTTTACTGGGCTCCATTCCGGCTCACCGTCTTGATCCATATGGCCTCGTGTTCCAACAGGACGTCCTACGGGCGAGGCCACAGACGGTTCTTTCCTGGTAGATTGGGGGAGCCGGTCTCCACAGTCCGCACCCATCTCCAGAGCAGGGGTTCACTGAGCGGAAAGTCCCTCTGTGCCCCCCTGGAGCCAAGCCTGATGGAGGATTCATTGGAGCAAGATGTCGAGGTGGACCAGCGTCCCGTGCCTCCGATTAGCATAACCGAGACGGTGACACCGCTCTCCAACTGAGCTCACCAGCATGCGTTCCACACGGCCGCAGCGAACAACACGTTACGCTGTTGGCGTACACGCCCAGAGGCGGGAAGAGACGTGCCCCTCTGTCCTTCGGCTCTTCCGCTCTCGTAGCGGCTGCTTGCTAACGATGCTGCCGGCCCCTGCAGTACGCTCCGTCTACAGGGCAGCTGACGTCATCCTCAACCGGTGCGCCTCTTTTGCTGTCTGCCGCCCCGCATCACAGTCGGAGAACGAGGTCCCAGAGGTTCTCCTGGCTCGTCACTCCACCTTCCTCTCAGGAGAGCTGCAGGAGTTTTTGTTGGAGGTCCTCTTTTCATCAGCGAGAGATCATTTCAAGATGCTCCACAGCTGCACAATGCCTCCCCAGCTCTGCTACGCCAGCTCCTCCCGTCAGATGTCCCCGGCATCCGGAAGTTCTTTTTTTTTTTTTTTTCCCGGACTTCGCTAACAGGGGGCCCTCCAGGACAACAAACAGAGCTCAAGGGAAGGTAACCAGGTGTCGGGTTGCTGGAGGTGTGTTGATGACACGATGTGAAATAACATCAATAACAATGTCAGCATGGTTTATCTGACAAGCGGCTCCATCTCACACACTCATCACGAATGAGCCTTTTTAAGGTTGTTTTTCATTCACTGCCAGCGGTGCCGATACGCGCTCCCGCAACATGAAAGCGTGCACGCAGCTCTCAGCGCCCGCCGTTCACGTCAACGTTAACGTGAGACCGCGGTACAAGCTCAGCAACGTACCTCGCTCTCGGCAGGAGCGACACACGTCTTTTCATCGCAGTGGTGTCAAACGCACGCTCCCGCGGCGTCAGCAGCTTTCACAAGCCTCTTAGCGTTCTGCTCAGGCATGCTCGAAGAAGGTTTTCTGAATTAATACTGCAGCTCGTGGAATCACTCAAAAGTTCACGTGACTTGCAGCCAAGAATGAACGTGTTTCTGCAGACCGAGCAGTGGTACCCTCTTCACCGATGCTGCGCGCTGCTTCCTGACCGCACCAGTGCCAACGCGCGCCCGCGAGGCAATCCTGGCTTAAGGCGTCGCATGAATGAGGATGTGCACACACGACCCTTCAGGGCATGTCGGCTCATACGTGCACCCGCTTCCCGAGCGTTTACACGGAGCAGCTGCACACAACGTGAGCACAACACAGATGAGCTGCTTCCACACAACGTCTTGCATGCTCGGGGATGTGAGTGTTTTTTCTTTCTCACTCAGCGTGCTCCAGCTCACATCAGCATGCATGTGAGTTTCACAGCATAAATGCGTGCCCGCTTTATAACTTATAACAGGTGGCTATGAACACGCGCTCCAGATGGATGGGCGAACCGTTTTCATCCGGGGACTCACGCTGCAGTCCAGCTCAAAACCCGGTTTGGAGGAACTCTGTGATGTTTTTTTCTGTCATTTATGAACAGATCTCGTCCCCTCTCGCAGAAGCTCAGGAAATTCTGTTTTAAATGTAATTTCTGGAGTCACAAAGGAGAGGAAAACGCAAGGTCCCTCTCTCGTCACTTCCTGGTGCCAACGAACTGGAAGATGAGATTTATTCTAGATTGTCAATCTCTGAACTGTGAGAAACAACACTCCATTATGCGTCCGAGCCACCTTAACTCTGCTTTATCCGGACACCTGCTGCTGTTGAGCAGTTGTACAGACAGATGGCAGCAGTGCAACTCACGTGAATCGGTTGAGTGACATCAGCTGTTTTCCGTCAGCAGACCTACGTCACACTTGTCAGTTTTTCACAGAGGCACACACATTTAACAAGCTGTGGGGCCGCTGTAGTTCTCTACACAGCAGCTCATTTAAATGTTTTTGGAGTGTCGTAGGGGCTCTTTGAATGTGACTCAACACTGACCTTAAGCTGCAGAATCATCAGGGTTTTTTGATTCACACAGACAGCAAGTGACTGTTGCATACATACTGGCAGGAGATGTATGCGTTCAACCCATGTGCCACATTGTGAGACAGATGCTGTGTGGGACACACCTAATCTGCTCTCCATTGGAGTGGGTACATCTCATGTATTCCGAACAGGAGGTGGATGTGATGTCCAAGACGGTCCTTTGCGGCACGGGGACCTTCCTCCCAGAGCTATGGCTCAGACATGGCAGAAATCCTGCCAGCGCCTGTGGACGTGTAGCAACACGAGAGAACGCTCAATGTGAATTATAATTACCGTGGGGCCACGGGTCGATCCACCGCTGGGTGGACGTGCCTGCTCACAGCCTGTGGTCGTAATGCTTTTTCACCTTCCTCTTTCCCTCTGATATCACGGTTTTCTGAACCGAGCTCAGGAGGAGGGACTGGCAGCTCCTTTGCCCCAAGTGCGTGAACGCATCATGGTTCCCAGGCCTACGATATTTGTTATCAGGACACAAGTGGAACCTGCCGTGGAGGGAGGACGCTCTCCTCCAGGCGGGAGGAACGATCAAGAATTAATCAGAATAGGCCAGCACCTGTGGTCTGGCCGCTGCGCGGATCTTTTTGAGAGGATGGATCTCTCTCAAGATGTAGTGCGTACGATTCAGGATTCACGTGCTGCAACCACCACAGCGCTGTTCACATCAAGTGGTCAGTTTCTTCAATGCTGCTGTACAGAGAAGGCGTAGAGGCCACTTCATGTCCACTGTTTGACATGCTGTCCTTTTCTGCAGCAGTTGATGGACAGAAATCTGGTGTCCAGCACGATTATAATATGCTGCAGCCATGTTTTCTTCTTGTCTCAAAGTTGTCAGAGACAGAACAACCTTTAATCATCCTCTTACAAAGCATTTTGTCTCAGATTGATATAGTAGCTGTGGGCCTGTTTGTGACATGAGAAATGCTCAGTGTCAATTATGCGTTTCTCTGAGCCCACGAGACGAACCACTGCTGGGGTGGATGCGTTTGCCCACAGCCTATGGCCCAAAATGCTTCTGTACGCGTTTTTTTTCTCCACCTCCTCTGATTTACGGTTCTTGAACCAAGTTCAGGAGGAGGGATTGACAGCTCTTCTGGTGACCCCGAACGCGTGAGCGCACCATGTTTCCCAGTCCTACAACGCCTGCTGTCGGGGTGCCCGTGGAAACTGCCGTGGAGGGAGGACGCTCTCCTCCAGGCAGGAGGAGCAACCAGGAGTTACCCAGAAATAGGCCAGCACCTGTGGGTCTGGCCGCTGAACGGAACCACATAGAGAGGATGGGTCGCCCACAGGATGGAGTGCGCACAATTCAGGTTTCACATGCTGCATCTACCACAGCGATGTACACATCAAAGCGGACAGCTTTTCAGCGCTGGTGTACAGAGAAGGGTGTAGAGGCCACATCATGCCCATTAGGTGGCATACTGTCTTTTCTGCAGCAGCTGATGGACAGAAATTTGTATCCAGCACGTTTAAAACGTACGCTGCAGCCACCTCTTCCTGACACGAAGGTTTCTGAGACAGAACAGGTTTTAATCATCCGCTGACAAAGCTTTTTCAAAAAGGGGTACAGAGACGCAGGCCTGTTTCACACCCACTTGTTCCACAGTGGGATTTAATACTGGTCCTGCAGGTCCTGATCAAAGCTCCATTTGAGTCTTTGGATCAGGTCCCACTTAAATTCTTGTCTCTTTAAACAGCCCTGCTGATGGTTTTAACATCCACTAAGAGAGTGGGTGTTTTATCTGCCCTCTCTGTCGCTCCGTCATGTCTCAGAATTCAGGCTAACGGCAGCTCAGCTGATTTTAGACCAACCCAGCTTTTATGCCTAAAACATCACAAGCTCTTTTAATCA